ATTCCACATCTAGTTCCAAAATGTATTTTATGTGGTTTATAAGAATACACAAAACACAAGATAGCATACATTCAAAGTGGATACTAAAATAAAAATAAAAACCATTGAGACTGGGCGTGGTGGTGCGCGCCTGTAATCTCAGCTCTTGGGAGGCTGTAAAGAGGAGAATCACTATGAGTCTGATCTAGTAGTGAGACCCTGAACACCCTTTAGATCCTTCCCTAAAATACAGAAAAAAAACCTGTAAAATAAAGATAGGAACATAAAATGAACTCCAGATTATAGCTAATATAAAGCGCATACATACCATTGAGTCCCATATCAAGTACTATGCTTAGACCATACATTCAGTTCCAAGCTTTCTTCTAGTAGTCAACAAGAGAAAAATGATCAGTCTCACAATCCAGAGGGCTCATAAAATAAAATCAGACCACTTACTTGGGTTGTTTTTTTCCTGGTCAAAATCCTAAAAACTTTTCTATAGTACAGTTTTATAAAGTAGTGCCAATTTGCCCTTCTTAATTGCTCTAACACCATGATTCAGCTCCTGCAACCATCTTCAACAAAAGTAGACCCTCAGTCCTGAAAGTACATCTTCTACTTATTTTTCTTCTACTTATCTTTTAATGTTCCATTTGGCCAATGAAATGTAGCCATTAAAGAGAATTCTTTCAAAACAAATAATAAGAGATGGTAATTTCTCCATATAAATAAAAAGCGTTGAAAATGCTTTGAAAAATTCTCTGTCACCAAATCAAATATTTTCAGTAGTGAAATAGACTTTATGATATTATTTAAAATGATATAAATTGGGACAGGGGAGATGGCTCAGTAGAATAAGTGCTTGCCTGGCAAGCTCAAGGGACTGAGTTCAATCCCCAGTCCCACCAAAAAAAAAGATGTAAATTAATGTTTGCTTATTTATTTATTTGGTACAGGATCTTGCTATGCAGCTTGGACTCCTAATGATCCTCCTGTTTTCAGCCTCCCCAGTGCTGGGATTATAGGCATGCGCCACCATGGCCAATTTTGCTGGCCACTCGGCGTGAGACCCAGATAGCATGTGGTATAGGGGACTGAACCCGAGTCCTTCCACTTGCCAGGCAGGCACTTAGACTGCTGAGCTATCGCCTCAGCCCTAAAATGACATAAAAGAGGGCAAATTGGTTAAGCAACAGCCGTGACTTATCCACATGGCTGACATTGACAGAGGATCTACAAACTGCGGTACAGGGCTTCAGGGTAAATCCTGAGGGTACTTGACTGACTTTATCAGATACAAAAGTTACATTTCTTATTATATAGGTCTTGCTTTATCTTGATCTTAACCATCCAACAGAAAAGTATAAAAGTGAAGTATGAAAAGTAAAGCCATATTAATATGCTGAGCTGTGAAAGGCTCAAGTCAACAATTTCTGCGGATAACCCACTACTGTTGTGGACTGCTGGACTGTGTTGGATTGTTCTGCTGAATTCACACACCTACAATATTTAAATGGCAATGGAATACCCATCTCTGACAAAACTAAA